ATCCATTGAAAACTACTTGAGAACTCACTGGTGTTTTAGTTATATTTTAGGTTAGTATATTTTAACACTCCCCGTTAGAAAGGCGTAGATACAGGCACTGCTAATGAAAGATGTTCTGGCACGAAACGTTCTGTTAATAGTTTGAAGATTATTACTAGACTTGTTAACTTGCTGTTACTAGACTCATAAACCTGTTGAGGACATGAAATTTGTAATAGCACAGTAAAGCTACTGATTGCTTTCTGAGCCTGGGCAGCCACTGACATTCAGCTTCATCATATTTCAAAAGAAGGGATTAGACTAAGTTATTTCTAGTTATTTTATAGTTTCACAATAATACCATCTGCTGTCCTAGTACAGACTTTTTTGTAATATAACAGCTTTGTAACTAGAATGGATAAAAGGAAACTAAATTTGAGGGTCTGTTCTGTAACACTTCATGCACTCCCATTTTCCACACAAGGAAACTGAAGCCAGGAGAAGTTAGATCTGCCTAAGAGTGCCCATCTGCTAAGCATGAGCTCAGTTGGGATCCTCGTGGTTTCCACATTGTCTGTGCTTCTAATCCTGGAGACAAGGACTGGGGCACTTGGATCCCAGCAGTGTATTAAGGGCTTACTGACCTCAGGATAGATAGCCCATGCATCTTGAGCATCCCTTTCACTCAATATTTGGGGAAGAAAGATTTTGATTCATATGTGTTTTGTGTGAGAGAGGGGTGGACACTTGTTTTTGGTTGGTTTGGTGAAGTTTTTTTGCATATGGGAAACAGTATAAAATATTTTCACATTAAAACACTCAAGTCTGTATTATGACGTATAAATTTCACATAATTTTTGAGGTAAAATGAGACTTCAGAAATGTTTCCTGTTTTGAGGCAGGGCATTTTCAGTTGCTTTTAAGATTATAATTTTATTTTCCTCTACTCTTTATATATATTGTTTTCCTCTACTCTTTATATATATTGTTTTATTGAGATACAATTCACATACTATCCAGTTCAGTCATTTAAAGTGTAAAATATTACAGAGTTGTGTGATATCACCACAGTCAAATTGAGAACATTTTTATCACCCCCCAAAAAAACCTTATACCCATTGGCATTTATTCCTCATTTCTCCCAACCCTTTGCTCAAGGCAACTACTAATGTACTTTCCATTTATATAATTTTGCCTGGCCTAGGCATGTTATCTAAATGGAATTATATAATAAGTGATCTTTTGTGACTGCTTCTTTCACTTAGCATAATGTTTCAAGGTTTATCCAAGTTGTAGCATATATTAGTACTTCATTCCTTTCTATTGCCAAGTAATATTCCATTGTGTGATGTACCACATTTTATTTATCCATTTATCACTTGATGGTCATTTGAATTGTTTCTACCTCTTGGCTCTTAGTAATAATGCTGCAGTTAGTATTTGTGTACAAGTTTTACTCACAGTAATGTTTTCATTTCTCTTGGCCATATGCCTAGTAGTAGAATTACTGGATCATGTGGTAATTTTATTTTGAAGAACTGCCAAAATGTAAAATGTTTCCTAAGTGGTGGTAGTACCATTTTACATTCTTACTAGCAGTGTATAAAAGTTCCAGTTTCTCTGTATTCTTGCCAACACTTGTTATTATCTATCTTTTTTATTGCTGTAGTCATCATAGTGGGTGTGAAGTGGTATCTCATTGTGGTGGGGTTTTTTTGTTTTTGTTTTTGAATCCTTTCCTGAAGATATTTTTCCCATTACTTTTCAGAGAGAGTAGAAGAGAGAGAGAGGGAGAGAAACATCAGTGTGAGAGAGACACACCAAATGGTTGCCTCCCACACGCTCCCCAACCAGGGTGGGGGATTGAGCCTACAACCAAGGTACGTGTCCTTGACTGGAATCAAACATGGGACCCTCCAGTCCGCAGGCTGCCACTCTAACCACTGAGCCAAACTGGCTAGGGCGATGTTGAACATCTTTTCATGTGCTTGTTTGCCATCTGTGTATCTTCGGGGAGTGTTTTTTAGTATTATTTCCTCATTTTTAATTAGATTATTTGACTTTTGATTATTGAGTTGTTATAGTTTTGTAGCATATCCTGGATACAAATTCCTTATCGGATATATGATTTGAAAATATTTTCTCCCGTTCTGTGGATTGTCTTTTTACTTCACGGTATCCTCTGAAACGCAGAAGTATCTAATTTCAACGAAGTCAAATTTATTCTGTTTTTGTAACTCGTGCTTTTGGTGCGATATCTAAGAAGACTTTGCCTAACCCAAGGTCATAAATATTTACTCCTGTGTTTTCTTCTAAGAGGTTTTTTAAAATATACATATATAGTTTTAGCTCTTAATTTTGGTTGTTGCCTAAGCATACATGAGTTAGGAGGCTTTGGCTAGAAAAAAAAATGATTAAGATTTATTCATAGTATTATACAACTAGGTAAATACCCAGAGTGTTCTGAAAAAAGGAAGAGAAGCTGAATATTTGTATAGTAACAAGTACCTTCTTAAGAAGAATCAGCCCTGCATTCTGAATCTCTGGGCAGGGGATTGAGCCTGCAACTGAGGTATGTGCCCTTGGCTGAAATCGAACCCAGGACCCTTCAGTCTGTGGGCTGACAGTCTAACCATGGAGCCAAACCAGCTAGGGCTGAACATTTTTTTAAAATTAGGCAATCATCGTGAACAGGGCTCTGCCCAGAAAAAAATAAGTTGGGAGCAGGTGTTAGGTAAGAAAGGGGAGGGTGATTGATGTAAGAAGGTCAGTTAAAAGATAGAGTGTTCTGGTCCGGAAATATTGAGGACTTTAAGAAGTAGGGCAGCAGTGGAGATGGAAAAGAATGGATAGCTGTTAATAATGCAGGGTCCTGACCTCTATTCTAGACCGACTGAATTAGAATTTCCTAGGTGTGGCGACAGGACAGCTGAACTTTTTTTTTTAAAATCCTCACCCAAGGATATGTTTTTATTGATTTTAGAGAGAGAGGAAGGGAGAGAGAGAGAGAGAGAGAGAGAGACATTGATGTGGTGGCCTCCCCTGTGTGTCCCAACCAGGAATTAAACCCACAACCCGGGCATGTGCCCTGACCTGGGAATGCAACCCGCAACCCTTCAGTGCACAGGACGACACTCCAACCAACTGAGCCACACAGACCAGGGCTGGACAGCTGAACTTTTAGCAAGGTCCACTCAGTGGTTCATATGTCTACTATACTGTAGTATAGCAATTTTCAACCCTGTGCCACAAGAATTTTTAAAACATGCAATGCCCGACTATTTAGTCAGGGGCACTGACGTCTTTTCCCTTAGACTGTCAAACTAAAAAATGACAACAGCCAACACAATGATAGCTGTCTGGTGTGAATGAATCAAAATTATATCTATTTTTTGTCAGATTGGCCAAAAATATATTTTTTGATGTGCCACAGAATTTTAGTAATTAGTTTAAGTGTGCCATGAGATGGAAAAGGTTGAAAACTGCTGCGGTAATAGATGATATGAACATAGAGTTGACTAGTCTGGCAACTGATGGTGTGCTCAGGAGCACCTCTGTGTGACCGAGGGAATGGTGTTAGGGAACGTAGGAAAGTGAGAAGGTTTGTTGGTGCAGAGAATGTATTCAGTTTTACATACTATGTCAGATCTGACTTGACAGCAGAATAGTTTGTGCAGTGGGATTGATTGGGAAATGAGAATAGTTACTCAGGGCAAGAGCCAGACCAGTAAATAAAGAACTTTCACAAAAATAGATTTATGAGTATCTCTAAGATACTGTGCCACTTATTTGCTGTTTTAGTCTACTGTTAATAGAAACAGATATGTTAGTATGGGGAAGTAGCTATATTCAGAGAGAAACGAGGGAATCTGCTTTCTCCAAGCTTTCATGGAGACCCGTGTGCCCCCCACACAAGTTCCCTGATCACTGGGACTTAGGGCAGGAGCATGATATTGCTGTCTGAACCCAGCTGTGACTCTGAGGGAAGAGATGAGTTGTGCATAAACACTAGGCCGGGGGGCACCAAATACTGAATAAAAAGAGAAGTACTGCTATCTAGATTCTTTTTTAAAAAATTTATCTTTATTGAAAGTATTACAGATTCTTGACAGCTGAAACTGCTGCGGTGTGACTGGAGCTCTGTCTGTGCAATGTCCCTTGTACTTAGAATTGTCACTAGTTTCTTTGGAGAGGTGGTTTTTGTTATTGTTTACTGGTTTTGGTTTCCTGGATGGGCCAGCAGCAGAGGGTCCATGCAGCACACTCAGGAGGCAGCTCATCTCAGGTTAAAATGCTGGAGATTTTCCAGACCCAGAGATCCTCACAAACAAGATTCTGTGCCTTTGATCTTCAAAATTTTAAGTCCCTGTTTGTTTTTGAGTGACTACATACACAGATCATCTAGGTAGTATGTTTGAAAGAAAAAAAGTCTCTGCCTTCAAGTAATTGCAGTCTAGTTGGGAGAAAGAACACATAATAAATGACTTGTGAAATTAATCATCGTGTTAGTTAACTTGCTCCTGTTTTTGCCTGGAACCTCTAGATGCATATCCCCATGGCCATATTTCCAGTCTTCTTACTCTGACAGGATGAATTCATTCACCTCACTCTAACCACAATCCCACATCCTTCAATTCTCACCAGAAGTTACTTTCAAAACACCAGTTCTTTGACTTCATCCGAACCTCTAGTCTAAAAGCCCCTCTGCTTGCATCTATGTTAGTTTCAGTTTAAATTCTGCAGCTCAAATGTCAGCCGTTCTTTAGAATTAGATAATATCAACTTCAGCTTCCTTCATCAGACTTCAGTTTCAAGCCCAGGTACGTTCAGCTGCCTGTTTTGTTCATTCTTGAGCCAGGGAATTGCTAGAGAAAATCGATCAACAGTGTCACTAAAAATTCATGGCACCCGCTGTCAACATTGACCACAAAGCCTACTGTTTCCTTGTACTCTCTCCCATTCTCCACACTGGCCATGTCTCTGTGTTCCTCAAACCTCCGACCCTTTTACCACCCTTCTCCCTTTCAATATATGACCCTACCTCTTGTAACTCGGAGAATGCAGCTCCGTTTACCTCCAGCCTGCCGGCTCACTCCTGTGCTGCGCTCTCGTGAGGATGGAGGGGTATCCTGCTGGTCTGCTGTGAAGCACTCTACCTAAGTCACATATCCTTTTCTTCTAGGGCCCAAAGAAGAGAGAGTCTGAAGGCAGGGAGATTGATTAGGAGAAAGCTCTTTTTGTAATTCGTGGATTATTAAAAAAAGAATGAAAAATCCGGGAGAGTGCTGAGCCTGCTGTATTAGGTAGAATACTTATGTCTTTGACAGCGAGAGGGAAGTCTGAGGGATGTGGTGATGAAATTTATTTCAACAGCTGTTGAATTTCTTCAGAAGTTACTGTGGCCTCCCAAGTCCCTGTAGGCATTGCCTGACTGTCAGCCTCATGTCCCTTTGGATAGGTACAGATGGAGGTGGGTCCGTTCTCTCAAATCATATTTATTTCTTATTCTTCTATTGTATGCCAGTATTTTTCAACAAGAACTGGTGGTGAGCCAATACAGTAGAATTTCTACCACCTATGTCTGAGGTACTAGCCATTAAATGAGAAAAATAATCTTCCTCTCTGGAGCCTCTGAAAGCTCGGCATTATTTCTGTTTTGTGAAAAAGGATAATTTATGTTTCTTCATCTGTTCTTATTACACTTTTAGAATAACTAAATTTCTAATTGCAGACAAGCAAGTTGGCAAACACAAGTATTATATGGAGTATAAGAATGGCCCACTTCCCCTTCAGGGACAGGACATATATAAGTAGGAAACTGGACAACTAACAGCAGTTTTTAGTTTTTCCAATTTTAGCTTTATTCAGTTACCTTTCAGTAAATGACATTATTTAATTTTTAAGTTGATAGAGGTCAAACTGGTATATAAAAAGTTTATAAATGTTGGTTCTCTTCTAATGGTTAAACTTTTGCAACCTAATTCAAATCAAGTAGCATTACTGCTTATGCATTGTGTTTTTGTATTTTAGGAACCCTGATTGCTCTCCTTCAACACATTCACTATGAAGTTACTAACAATACTTTTATTTTCTGGACTTATAACGGCTTGTAGAGGTAATTCTTCCTATAGTTTGCCGCCGAAGTTACTGCTGGTGTCCTTTGATGGCTTCAGAGCTGACTATCTCCAGAACTATGAATTTCCTCATCTCCAGAATTTTATCAAAGAAGGCGTTTTAGTAGACCATGTTAAAAATGTTTTCATCACAAAAACATTTCCAAACCACTACAGTATTGTGACAGGCTTGTATGAAGAAAGCCATGGCATTGTTGCTAATTCCATGTATGATGTAATCACCAAGAAACATTTTTCTGACTTTAATGACAGGGATCCTTTCTGGTGGAATGAGGCAGTACCTATTTGGGTGACCAACGAGCTTCAGGAAAACAGATCAAGTGCTGCTGCTATGTGGCCCGGTACCGATATACCCATTCACAATACCACACCTTCCTATTTTATGAATTATAGCTCCACAGTGTCTTTTGAGGAGAGACTAAATAATATTACCACGTGGCTGAGCAGTTCGAACCCACCGGTTACTTTTGCAGCACTCTATTGGGAAGAACCAGATGCAAGTGGACATAAATATGGACCCGAAGATAAAGAAAACATGCGCAGAGTGTTGAAAGAAATAGATGACCTTATTGGTGACTTAGTCCACAAACTCAAGATGTTAGGATTGTGGGAAAATCTTAATGTGATCATTACAAGTGATCACGGGATGGCCCAGTGTTCTAAGGACAGACTGATAAACTTGGATCTCTGCCTCGATCATTCAGACTACACTCTCATAGATTTGACCCCAGTTGCTGCGATACTTCCCAAAATAAGTAAGTGAACTTTGGCCAAGGGGTGTTTGAATGGGGCCATGGATTCAGGAAGGCCGGCTTTGTAAAAGAATGAGGCTCTGGCTTTTACAGGTCAGGGTCATATGTTCTTACACTTACTCAGAGTGGGATTATGTGTTTTCCTCCTACTTTACAAGTTTTAAAACAATTACCTTAAGATTTAGGTTCATAATGATTATTTCTTTGTTTTTTGGATATATTTCGTAATTATTCACACAAATGGAAAAAGGTAATTTTTACCCTTAAAAACATCTTGAATTTTTGTGTGATATACCTTACCTTTTGTTTACTGATCTTAGAATTAGTGTTGTAATATGTAACTAGTTAATTACACACATGTGAAAATTGTCCCCTTTGTATAAAAAGTCTACCAGGAATAATAACAAAATGAAAAAAGAGCCCTGTGAATGCTTTGAAAAAGTGTGTGTGCGCGTGCGCGCGTGCATGCTCTACACTGTCACATAATTATTCTCTTTTGAGAATTAAAGGTGATTCAATAGATGGTATTGTTCAGGATTTTTTTTCCAGTTATTTAGTTAGAGGTATGTTTTCCTTATCAATCAACAATTACTTTTTTCCTTTACTGTTTCCTTTTTCTTCAGATACAACAGAGGTTTATAACAAACTAAAAAACTGTAGCTCTCACATGAATGTTTATCTCAAAGAAGACATACCTGCCAGGTTTCATTACCAACATAATGATCGAATTCAGCCTGTTATTTTGGTTGCTGATGAAGGCTGGACAATTGTGCTAAATAATTCATCACTAAAATGTAAGTATTAACTTAGGGTATTTCTCTTGTGTCCTAGGGATAAATCATATATTGACATTGTCCTGTTAACAGGGTACTTTTATTTAGAGATGTTGACACAGTACAGTTAGTTCAGTTTTCAACTATATAATTGTGAGGTCTTCATTCAATTCTCAGGTTTTTATTTGATAGCAATTCACAGTAACCACAATTTCACCCTTACGTTACAAGGTTGGGTCACCTTAAGGGTGAAGGTGTAGTTTTACTTTCTTACCAAAATTGCAGTTAATCTCAGTAACTTTGAAGATGGGTTCTCATTTGTAGAAAATGAAAGAGAAGGAAACAAAGAAATAAAAGTAAAGAAACAAAGTAAATGGGAAGAGATTAGCTAGTTCAAATTTCTTTTTATTTTCATGTTTAAAAAAATTTGTCCAGGTAACCCTAAGTCTTTCCCCAATGATGAAATAATTTACCTGAATGCTACAGCTGTTTAGAACATTGGGCAAGAACCAAAAGTAAACAAACAAAAATGTACTGGGTAAACAAAATAGATTTATCAAAATCCCTCCTAAAACTGAGATACTATATAGGGGAGAATTACAGGTCTTCCCTGAAACAAGGTCATTTATCCATATGTTACATTTAATTTGAATACTTTAAAAAAAAATCTGATTTTGTAATTGATAGCAGGGGTCAGAAAACTTTCTGTAAATGGCCAGATAGTAAATACACATTTTAGGTTTTGTGGGCCAGCTGGTCTCCCTTTGAATGTATAGATAAACTGACATGGGGTATTGCACTGAAATTTTGTTTACAGAAGCAAGTGGAGGGCTGAATTTGGTGGTGGGGGGCTATTGTCTGCAGATCTTTGATCTATAGCTACTCAGAAGCATCAGGCAAAAATAAAACCAGGGTTAATGGAATTACATATTATTTATATTTATGTCATATACCCATTGTTGAAAACTTAGAAAATACAGAAAAGTTTAGAAAAGAGAACAAAGAGGTACAGACAGATGTTAATTGTGGGAGTTTTTTACCCTTCTAATCTTGTTTTCTATTACTTGCATATTTGTACACTATTGAAATCATAATATCTATATTTGTATAGTGTTATATTCTGCTTTTTATTATATTGGTCATATGTGTTTTTATTTTGAAGTATTTTAAACATACAGAGAATAATAAACCAGACACTGGTATAGTCATCACTCAATCCTGCACTTCATATGAAAGTGGGAACTTATTGAATGCAAGTGGTGTACATTAGGTGGCCGTATTTGTTAAAATAAAGCTAAACTTCAGCATCTGGTATTGGAGTCTGTTAGGGACCATTGCACCTTTCCTTGAGTTAGACTTTTACTGCCATTACAAGTTGGAGTCATCTGGGTAGACTTCATGTTCAGTACAAGAATCCCGCTGTCCATTCGCAATTACCTGGCCCTCAGGTTGAGGTGTTCATCGCATAACTGTCAGTGAACCAGAAGTATAGTATATAACCCCGTTTCTTATCACATGAGCAGTTGACATAGATTAAGTCTGCAGGTTCACCTCCTCCCGTTCACTGGTTTTAACTCGCTCCCGCTCTCCCCAGTTATTCAGGACTTTCAGCCCAACCACTCTATCACTGGTGCAGTTTGCTGTGGGCTTTTGCAAACAGTGCTGGAGAGTAACAGGTGAAATAGGTGGGGCTGGGACTGAAAGATAAGTACAGAAGACTGAGAAATAGTTTTCAAGCCTGATTCCATGACCAGTTGGAAGCAGGGTGTGTGTATGAAAAAGGGAACATGGCTGAGTTGAAGAAAATAGAAAATTTTACTTCTGGCCCGCCTGGTCCAACTGACCAGAATTCAAACGGATGGGAATCACACTGGCAAGAAAGACTCCAGTGTCTTTACACATAAAGCAAGTTATTTTGTAATAGAAAGATGGTACTTATTTACTAACATCATTTTGTTCTTTCTCAGTAGGTGACCATGGCTATGATAATTCTTTGCCTAGTATGCATCCATTTCTGGCTGCCCACGGTCCTGCATTTCACAGAGGCTACAAATACAGCACAATTGACAGTGTGGATATTTATCCAATGATGTGCCACATCCTGGGATTGCAACCACATCCCAATAATGGAAGCTTTGGCCACATTCAGTGTTTGTTAGTTGACCAGTGGTGTGTGAAACTCCCTGAAGCCATTGGGATTGTTATTGGTGCACTCTTGGCCTTAACCACCCTAACGTTCCTCTTCATTGTCATGCAGAATAGACTGTCCGGCCGGCGGCAGCCGTTTTCCCGACTTCAGCTACAAGATGATGATGACCCTTTAATTGAGTAACGTGCGCTGGGGTTTATTCGAGGTGTTTTTGCTTAGTCACAAAATCAAGGATACACCCAAGGTGTTATAACTTTGGAAAAGTATATTCTGAAAGACAAAGCATTTACACCAAGCACGCTAAAATTATTTTGTTTTTCTTTGTGTTTTCTTTTGGTTCATAGCTATACAAAAACAAACAAAACATCCTGACCATAGTAAAAATTGCTAGTAAATCATTAGTTAACACTATTTATCTAACTAGAAACATTTTTTAAGAAACATACTGCCTCTGCCTTTTTCTTTTTGCAATGAAAATTTGATACATCTTTAGATGAAAATAGAACAAAATTAAGTAGGTATGCTTTTCTAATAAATTTTTATATTTGTAAATTAAACAATGGAATCTTTATGTAATTAGTAGAATTTGTGTATCAGGGAGGAAAAGTTTCCTATATTTTTATATTTACCTTTAGTCGAGTTTGTATCCCAAGTAAACCCTTGGGTTAGGAAATTCTCTCTGATGGTTAATAAAAACAGTTAACCAGGCAGAAAAGATCAAGCACATGAAGATATTATTTTACAAAAAGTTATTATTAAAAACTATCAGTGTACTACAAAGCCTGTCTTCACCATTGTGTCTTTGTTAAGACCCTTAAGTTGTTGAACTGTTTTCTTTTGAAGATTATTGCTAATAAGAAATTTAATAGGGAAAAGTGCATTTCTGTTTGTGCTTAATGCCTTTGTGTAAGCTATTTGTGTGTGTGCACAAGTGTGTTAGCATGTATGGGCGTGCACTTCATGTGACTTATGGAAGATCAAAGATAGACTTGACCAGAGGTAGGCTTCCACATTCCCCTAGAACACAGCCCTACGGAAGGGTTATATTTCCAGTTCATACTTGTTTACCTTCTAACTCAAAAGTTAAACTAGTAATTTTAAAAGTTCATTAATTTTTGTTACCATTTTTAACTTGCTCATATTATTATAATTAGAAGTATCCAAGAGCTACAGAAAAATTTATGACCTGATTACAAATCTGGTTTTGATGGGTCAGAAATGAGAAAAACGATTTTTATGTTAACCTTTGGGACTTTTATGCCTTATTCTTTAGACAATATAGTAGTTATATTTAAAATGGAATTTAGTCTCTTTTGCTTCTTTACATTAGTCTTATGTTAAGTAGCAGAATAAACTCTCAGCATCGCCTAACATTTCCTAGCTTGAGTGCTAGGTGATACCTTCTAATAATCAAAATTAATATGAAGAAACTGAATTGTGGCAGATGAGATTATATCTATTAGAGAACTTGGATTCAAGAACCATTCATTGGGACTTGAGGCAAGCAATTGATATTAATGGTGTGATCTCCAAAGTTTTGACAGTATAAACTAGGCAACCGGTTTGCAGATACAAAAATAACCTTCAGTAAATATGCAGCCCTGATAAATGTTGATTATCTGTGATGGTTAAGAACAATGGTGCTAATCAGCAAGTATATAATTCACCTTGTTTGGCCACTGCTGGTTTCATGTCCCTGGTATTTTGTGCCTATCATATCTGGGCTTCTGGAGAAGCATTTCCACATCCTGCATAAATAGTTCATGCTGTTATTGGTCCAAAGTTGACTAAGAACAGCATAATAAATAAATGAAGTAGAGCAAATAGGAATAATTTTTCTTTTTGACATATTTCTTAAGTTTTTCCTCATAAAAGTTTTCCTACAGGTTAATAGTTGATTTGAATGAAATAGAAAATTTTCTTTTCTACTTCATTTGCCATTAAATAACAATAAAGACTAGGACAGTCACATTTAAAGCCGTGGGTATTTTACAATAGTAGCAGGATATTTTATACTATTTGAGTAGAGTTTGGTCCTTGGAATGGTGTGAGTTTTAGTGACCACAGTAGCTTGATTGGTGGATACGAGTTTCAGCAAACTATACGTGGCATCCAGCCTGCGAGTAGATTTTATATAGGATGGAATAGAAAGGGATGCCCTGTGTCTTAACTGTTGAACAAAAGACAGTTTACCTATTTGTCTTGTCTTTCATTCTCAAAATATTAATTTTAATTAAAATCGTAAATTTTTATATCTGTGTTCATGGGATAAGAACAGAATTTATTTAATCAAAGAGATGTTTATATATTATGTTGAAATTTGTGTTAATCCATTTGTATCTATAAAACGTTATCACTGTTAAAGCCAATGATCCTCTAATACAGAGAAAATCTTTTAGGAAAGCTAGCCTTTTACATTAAAGTTTTGGTATGTTTTGCTAAATAATTCACAAATATGCTGCTATGTTTTTTGGGTGGTAGAAAGAATTTGGCCGTTTGTTTATGACAACAATACTCAAAGGTAATAGGAAAACTTTTTATTAAGCATTTTTTATTAACTCAGTGAATTCAGAGTAAGTATATTTACTTATAACAGGGACAGCTCTGCTGCTGTCATTAGTGTGCAGGTTCTCTGGCCAATGCTCTGTACTATAGGCTTCCTGTTACTGTTCCTTGGAGCTTGGTCTAAGACGTTAAAGATACATTTTTGGAACACTGAAGAATTAAAAATGCCTTTGCATTGTTCTTGGGTTTCTCTCTCGTAGCTCATATACGGTGAGTTTTAAGGGTGAATGCGTCTTTTATTTTATTAATGTCTTTTGGAGGGTTTTACTTCACTGTGAATACATAAAGCTACAAATGAAGGACGAAGATGAGAGAAAAGTGTCTATTATCAATTCTTAAAATAGTGTGTAAATAAAATGACATGAGTCTGCTTTAAAAAATTTGTATGTAGTGCCTTAAGTTAAAGTAAAATATTTTGATTATAGTTTGAATTCATAATTACTTTATGATTTAAAATTTTATTTGAATAAAATCTACCAAAACATTTTTACTGTATTACTAAATATAGAGTCAACATAATTTTTTAAATTTGTCATTATGCACAATATACACACTGTGACAGATTTTGACTTAGTAATGCTGAAAAAACCCACAGAAGCATTCCTTTACAGATTTTTAAAAACCAGAATTAAGTGTACAAAAGCTAAAACAATGTATAAGTATACAATCCAGCATAAGGACATTATTGGAAAGAAAGCCAATATAAATTTCACAGAGCTTTCGGACTATAATTCATTGGATTACAGTAGAAAGAAGTTTGAAAAAGCTGATTAGAAAACACTAGGGATAAGGGAGGATTATAGTATTTAAACTTTGTTTTGCACATAGCCATAAATATTTAATGTCTAAGTAAGTGTAGATTCAACAAAGTTTCCTCCAGTAGAATAGCGATTAATTCATTTCCTACTTGTACATTCTGTAAACACTGCCAGGAACTGTGGGAAAGAGAATAAAAGGCACTTCCTTTACTCTGGAAGAGTTCAGTAGCATTTCAAAAGTGGAACAGCTAACAAATCACTTGGGTCTACTCATGGTTTCACTCTTGCTGCAGAGTCCTTGGATCCAGAACCATTTTCTAGGCCCTGTACTTCCTGAAGTTTGGATGCCAGATTCACTTCTTTGCCCCATCCCCAGCCTTCCTGGTGCCTGGCCATAGGTATCATCATAGTCCTACACACACAAACTGCTTCAGAGACTATGTGAGAATCCAGGTGAGCCTGTTGGGTCCTGGAGTCCTGTCACACACACAAACACACTGATCATAACGTGTGTGTGTAAGTAGTGGTTAGTGTTGAAATTGCTATGTCCTGAGACTCATGTCTGTCTCATGGCCAAAACTACCCACAGTCTTTGGGCACAGTGTTGCCCAAAGAAACAACCTCCTAACTTTTCACATACCTTATACCTCCTTCACCTCTGAAATCTGATTTCAACCATCAATAAGCTGAATCTAGTGGTTCATCCACTGACAGCTCTATAATGATGGTTTATAGCTATATGTCTGTAGTTCAGACCTCCCTCCTGTGTTAAAGATCTGAACTGCCATTGACCCAATCAGCATTCTTTTCATATCTACCATGCTAACTTCACCTTTATAGACAGAGGTGGTGGAAAGGATCAATAGAAATTAACGCAAAAATAATTCTAGACAACTCCATGACACAAATACACATTTTTATAAAAGGGTTCCTATAGGTCAGACCCAGACCCAGTAGTATTGATTTATACATACTTGAATTTTCTAATGAGGAGCATGAAATTTTTTTACACAAAATTTCAGTGAAGGTTTTTATTTAAAAAAAAACAAAACGCAGTTCTGTTTCCAGTAAAATGGTCAAATATGTAATTCAAACTTACCTTCTTGCAGAGGACTAGAAATCTGGGCAAAATATAAAAGGTCTGTGCTATGGCAGTGAGGAATTACCAAGAAAGTGAGAGTCAAACGGCCAAGATTTAGAAAAAGGAAGAAATCTGTGACAGTGAGCTCCTAATGGAATCAGTTCTGGAAGAGGCAGCTGAGGGGCTGAAAAGCTAGTCAAAAGGGGTTTGTGGGGAGTAGGAAAGAAAACAATTTTTTAAAAAACCAAACAAAACACAAATTATAAGAGCCTACTATATACGATTTGGCACAAATAACTTGAAAATGCAGATGAAATGGATAATTTTCTAGGAAAAATATTTAACAAAACTGATTCCAGTAGAGAAAGAAAACTAAAACCAATTTCTGTTTTAAACATTGAGGAAATTATAAACTACTGTACAAAAAAGTATCAGGCCTAAAAGATAATAATCATCTTTTTAGTGCCTCTTTAGCAGATATGCTTGTTATATAGTTGCCTAATAAAACTGTTTTTTAGAAAAAGAAATATGTAAGTTTTTGAGTTGAATATAACATTGATATCAAACCTGGTAAAAATAGCACCAAAGAAAGAAAACAGACCAATCTCAAATGAGGGGTAAAAAGCAAAATGGAAAATCAAATCCAACTACATCAATAGCTAAATGTAAATAGACTGAGCATTCCAAGTAAATGGCAGAGACTTTGATGGGATGAAAAAGTAAGATCCAGTTATATGCAGTCTACAACAGATACACTTTAAGTACAAAACTGCAAATTGAAAGCAAAAGGATAGTTATATACCATGCAAAGTGTCAGAAAGCTGGAATACCTATATTAATATCAGATAAAGTACTCTTCAAGACCGGAATTTCCAGAGATAGGGACACTTCACAATGATGAAAGGACTAATATATTAGGAAGACAACAATTATAAATGTTCACACTTAAAAGAACTTACAAATTCATGAATCAAAAAGTGATGGAACTAAAGAAAGACAATCCATAAACATGACTGAAGAATTTAGCACTTCCCTCACAATTGATATAACAACCAGACCAAGAAAAAACAAATGAGCAACGATATAGAAGACCTGAGTGATCGTATCAACCACATTGACTTAAATGACATTTAGAGAAGACTACAGCCACAAAGTACAGACAACATATTCAAATGCACATGGAATTATCACCAAGATAGATTATATGCAAGACCATAACGCAAGTTTCAGTAAGTAATCTCAAAAACTTGCAATCTTACAAAGTATGTTTTCAGACCACAATGGAATTAAATTAGATTCTATAAGATTAAGGAAATCCTTAAATATTTGAAAGTTAAGCAATACATTTCTAAATAGAAATCATAGTACAAATGAGAGAATATATTCAACTGAATGAAAATGATTTATAACATACCAAATTCTGTAGTGTGCAGCTAAAGCAGTATTTAGAGGGAAATGTATAACCTCGTATGCCTGTTTTTGAGAGGAAGAAAGGTTCAAAATCAATGACTTAAGCTTCTTCTTTAGGAAGCTAGTAGAACGATGGAGAAAATCCAAAATGAGTGAAAGAAAAAAATGATAAAATTAGAATCAATGAAATAGAAAAGCGTAATAAAGAAAATGTAGCCAAAATTTGTTTTTTAAAATATAAGGTGTGTCAAAAATGTATACACACATTTCGAATAATTACAAAGGCAGTGTTTATTAAAATACATTTCATTTTCAAACTTGAACTACCGTTAAATTGTGTATATATTTTTGGGGGGACACCCTGTATTAATAAAATTGATAAGCCCCTAACAAAACTAAGAAAAAAAAGGAGCTAGCACATATTAGCAACATTATGCCAATAAATTTGACAATTTGGATAAAACGGCAAATTCCTTGAAAAATACAACTTACCAAAATTGATACAAAACCAAATGGATAATTTTAGTAGTCATACTTATCACAAAAATTAATTTGTTATCATAAACATCCCCACGAAGGAAACTCCAAGTCCAGATGGTTTTACTGATTAATTCTATCACGCATTTAAGTAAGAAATGATTTTCACAAACTTTTACAGGAAATAGAGGGAAAAGAAACACATCCTAATTGGTTTTTTGAGGCCAGTATAACACTGCTACCAGAATCTGATGAAAATATTAAAAGAAAATCATAGGCCAACCCCTATGAACAAAAATTCCTTAACAAAATATTATCTAATTGAATTCAGCAGTATTTCAAAAGGATAATACTCATGAACAAATAGAATTTATCCCTGGAGTGCAACATTAGTTTGATATTTGAAAGTCACTCAATGTTATCCATATTAATAGGGAAAAGAAAAACATGGTTATGTTAATAAATGTGGGAAAACAATTTGGCAAATTTACCACCTGTGTATTATTTGAAACTAGACAACTCACCAAATTTGGAATAGAAGGGAACTTAAAGCTGACAATGAACATACATATACACATAAAATACGTATCTTTTGCCACAAATCTACAGCAGTATCATACTGAATTATAATATTTAAATATCATAAACCTATCTTTAGCTAATGGACTGAATGGTGAAATACTAAATGTTTTTTCTCCTAAAATCAGGAACAAATCAAGGATGTCCCCACTCCAATCACTTCTATTTAACACTGCATTGGAGGTCCTATCAAGTGCAATAAGGCAAGAAAAATAATATAAGAAATGAAAAATAATAAAACTTGTATCTACAGATGACATGATTGCATTTATAGGAAGTCTAAAGCAATCAGATAAACTAGAAGTGAGTTTAGCAAAATTGCTGGAAATAAGGTCAAGTAATGTGTAAAAATCAAGTGTATTTCTATATATCAGCAGAAAACAGAAAATGAAAATTTAAAACTGGCATGATTTACATTGGTATCAACAAGCATGAAATCTCTAGGAAGAAGTCTAACAAAACACATGCAGAATTTTTGCACAGAAAATTAAGACAATGAGAAGAATTGAGAAAGACCAAAATAAGAGAAAGCTATACCATGTTTTTAGGTTGGAAGATTCAATCTTGTAAAGATGGCAATTCTCAGATTTATCATTGCATCTAAGCAATTCCAGCAGGGTTTCTTTATGGAATTGCATAAGCTGACTCAAAATTTTATAGAAACATAAAGGGTCAAGACAATCTTGAGTAAAAGTAAAATGATAGGACTTACTCTATCCGATGTCAAGAATTATCATAAACTTATAGTAATTAAAACAGTATGATGTTGACACAAGAATAGAAAAATAGATGAACAGAACTAATGACCTTTGTTAAAATGAAGAATCCATACATACGTGGGTGTATTAGACATCTCTTGTACACCACCCCAAATCCACTCAACCCACCCTTTACTCCAGTTTCATCCTGGCTTAGACCAGCTTCCCACAGACACAACCTAACAATGCTTAGTATTTCTTCCTAGCCCAGACACTATGGCACTGGGTGCCTATGAGATCACATTTGGCACTTGTGTGTGAACTACCCAGAAGTACTTGTAGTTAATACCCATGTGCCACTCAACCAGTGGGGTTGGAGGCTGATGGGTAAATGCTTTGCTTTCCTCTCCAACTCCTCAGGCACGCAGTTCCGAGATACATTTGATAAGGTTCATCTGAAGGTCCTGAGGGATTGGGCACTCAGAACAGTGGTCAATTCTCTAACTTACGCTTGTAGAGGCTCTCTCTACATCTCTCCTTCACTCCCTGTCCCTCACTCTTGTTTCTTGGGAACACTTCACAAATAAATTGCCTGCATAACAAGCCTTTGTCTCAGACTCTGCTTTTGGAAAAGAACAGGTTAAATTGTGGATTCATATAATACATCCAACAAAACATGTATACATAGATTCACCAAAAAACACATTAAAAATGCTCATAGCAGCATTACTCATAGTGACATCAAACCGGAAATGATCCAAATATCCAAAAACAATACATAAATTGTGGTACATTCATGTAATGTCATGAAACAATGAAAATAAACCACTAATACACACAGAACATGGATCTTACCCTAATCTTGAGTGAAAAAAGCCAAACATTAATGAATATATTGTATGATTCCATTTAGATAAAATTTAAAATAGAGGAAAGTATTTTGTTCCTAGTCAGGATAGAGATTGTGTCTTAAGGGGGGTCTTTCTGGAGTGCTGATAATTTTCCATCTTTTATTCCTTTTCTAAAGCGAAGTTACATGAATTTGTTCATTTATTGGTAATTGACAACATGTAGTATTTATATACTTTTTGAGTATGTTTTACTTCAATAAAAGATGTTAAATAGCAATACGTATGTCAAAGAAACAGAACAAGAACTTTAGACAAATAAGAACTTGCAATGTGTAAAAAAATAAAAGGACTAAGGCTTGGAAGACGAACTCTCTCAAATGGTGTAACAGAAGGTAAAAAGAAGAGCTGGAAGATAAGAGATAATCAACCAGTTCAGAAGTTCCAACATCCAACTAATATGAGTGCCAAAAAGGGTAAAAGGAAAATGAATTAAAGGAAAGTATAAACTAACATAAACAATGAGAATTTGCTAGAATAACAAAGAACTATAAGCCTTTAAAAATGAAAGCGACCCCTGAGTGGCAAGTGGAGTGTCCTTAGGTAATAAGTGTAAAATTTCAGGGAGCCGAAGATTTAAAAACAAATGTTATGAAAGGGAGGAGGGAGAGGGAGAGGGAGAGGGAGAGG